TTATATAGTTTTAGTTTTGTATTCATGACAATTCAATATCATATCATAAAATATTAAATATAAAGGCAAATGAGGATATATTTTACTGATCACTTATTTGTTTGTGTACATTTTTTTCCGAATTTATTTCGTTTTTTCAATTTGTCTATGCAATTTTTTTTACTGATCACGATCACACTTTATTTATCGATTAGACGAATACATTTTTGAATTAAATTATTTAGTGTACCTTGAATTTTATTTTAGTTTCTAATTAATGAGAGTCATATATATGACCAATTAAATACTAACTAAACTCGCGTTCTTTTGCATCAAATACGTTTGTAATAAAAAAATTATTACATGATTGGTCGTCTTTTATTTTGCAGAAAATACGTTTGCAATAAAAAAATTATTGATCAGACAAGTTATAGTATGTTTTGCTTCTATCGAGAAATCTGCATTATCTCAACAGAGATGTTGGAATGCATCTTTATGTTTTATTTCGTTAGAACCTTAAATTGTAAAGAAAGAATAATTGTTGTTTAATTTTTTTCTCACTCTTTTTATCGTTTTTCTGCGATTTTTATCTTTCACATCGATTCATTTACGAATTATTATGTTTTTCTGCCTTCATAATTTGTGGAGGAGTACGGTTTCTTTTTTAGAGTATTGGTTAGGAAATGATTCACTATTTTAGCACCCTAACAACCTTAAAATTCCTAAAATCACTAATTAATTTTTTCACACCCCTTTTTTTTGTAATGTTACGATTCCTTTTATTAAAATTTTTGTGACTTTATTTTTTTGAATTTTTGTTTTAAAATGGTAGTCACCTATCTAAAGTTTTAAATATATTTTTATTGTATAGTATATTACTGAGTTTAATAAATAAAATATATATTTTTCAAACTGTTAAAAATTTACAATAACACATTTAATTTAGAATTATAATTTTTGGTGGATATCAAAGAAAGAAAAAAAACTGAAATTGGTCATCTTTATGTTACAATTTAATTTTTGGAATTAACTTACATTAAACTAAGCTATTAAATTGTAGGAATTAGTTGTTAATGTTATTAAAAGCACTTAATTTTTTTAATAAATAAATAAAAAAGACAAATGTCAAAAAAATAGGTGACACATGACATCCTCTAATGACTTGGATACAACACAACCATATTCTAATAGATAATTTTTTTTTTCAATATCTCTTTTCAAATTTTTTAAATTTTTCTTAATTAGAATGTTCGAAAAACTATCATATTTAAAAAATATATA